ATTTTCTTCATTTGAGCCTTTACCCAAACTAGGTTGGATTGGCTTAAGTCTACTACGATACGGCTAAACCTCATCTTTTACCCACAACCCAAGTATTGGGCGATATCGAAGTTCTGTAGAAACTGTTGTTGGACATTTTAGGGCACCAACTACTTTGTGCGGTCCATGGCCCTTTACGGGTGCCCAGTATGGGCGGGGGAGCTGAAGGCCAGCAACGTCGCGATACTGCGACGACCGCAGCGAATGCTGGCCATCAGGATCATAAGGGGGTACCGCACGATCTCCTTTGAGGCGGCGAGTCTCCTGGCCGGAACTCCACCGTGGGACCTGGAGGCGAGAGCCCTTGCGGCTCTGTATCAGTGGCACAAGGAGGCGCAGGAGTTGGGTCGATGCCCCGAGATTCGAGAAATCGATGACCGGAAATCCCAACTCCACCAGGTCATCATAGGGGAGTGGAGGGAACGACTCGGGCAACCGAGCGCCGGGCACGCCGTCATTGCGGCGGTAACACCCGATATGGAGGATTGGCTCGAGAGGCGTCACGGGACCCTCTCATACCGATTGACGCAGGTGATCACTGGGAAGGGATGTTTCGGAGATCACCTGTATCTGATCCGCAAGGAGCCAACGCCTAAGTGCCACCACTGCGATGGCCAGACCGTGGACACGGCTCTCCACACGCTGTTACAAGTTATTATCAGTTTGAGTCGCAAAACTTTGTGATTTATTGTGATTATGAGTAGAATTACTTTTGTATAGACCTAAATCTAATACCTTTAAACAAGAATTCTTGTATATATTTAATCTGAATCTCGGAAACGATTTCCATGAAATTTAGATTGCCCCTGCGTACTTTTTCTTCGGTTTCGGGGGCGATTAATCAATCCAGCTAGGTTTCATTTTTAGACAATTTAATTTATTAAAGTCATCCAGGTACTTAAGTTTAAATGAAAACGTGTTAATATTTAATTTTAGTTTGTGAACGTATTATTCAAATGATATTAACGTTTAAGGGTTTCATTGACATCAATGTACCTACGAAATTGTATCAAGTAGTACTTAAACTCCGAGGTGGAATATTTTCTTTAAATAAAGGTAAAATCAGTCTAGAGTAGTGGTACCTTCACTATTATATAGTCGAATTGATCGAACTAAAAAAAAAATATTATAATATTTACTAGATAATAATGACCAAACTTTGTTGAGTCTGTTACAGGGATTGATGTACTAAGGTAAGTATATACAGGGACTCTTAATTTATTAAAAAAATCTCACGTATGATATATTCTGTTGTGGCACCGAATTATTTTAAGCTTTATCCCGAACCATGTTTTATTCGAGGTTAATTATGCATGTGTTAAGCTGAAATGATGATAATACGTTTAAGTTAAACATGATATTTCTAGTGCATAATTATACCTTACTATACTCATAAAATAAATACAAACTCTCGTCTCAATAAATAGAAATAATAGTTATTAATATTATAGAAATTCTAATAAAAACGTATCATTATAAAGACCCCCGTATACCACTTGAAAATATTCACTATAAAAATATAAAAAGATTATTCTACAACGCAGAAAGCCAAGACCAAGCTTCTAGATAACACTGAAACCATCTCAGTCGATAAATATATATTAGAATTTCTGCTCTCAAGACAGAGAAAATCTTGAAACTCCAACCATTACTGCAAAGATGTGGATATCACTATAATAGGTTTCCTCTTCCTGTCTTTTATATAACGACAGTCTTTATTGGTGGGCATAAAAAGGCACTTTCATCAAACGAACCTCAAAAGTAAGTCACCAAAGAAGATTAGACCAATTTGAGATACTTTAATTAGTTTGATTTGACTTGGCCAATTTTTCCGCTCCAAATATTGACAGTTTCGAATTAGACTTGGCCGTTTGATTTATATTTGTGTTATTTACTAACTAGTGAATGAGAATTTTGGTCGACTGTAAATTAGTATTGAGACTTAGTATAAATGACAACAAACTTGTGAAGTGTTGAATTGTTCGAAATCTATCGATACCCGAAAATTTGACACTTTTAGGAGACAAGAAATATATTATGTATAAGAAAATCCTTATAAAAATACATTCAGATATAGAAAGACATGATAGATATGTAGGAGCCGATTAAAGGAGTCAGCGACGCAGGACAACAGCACTGCAAAGAGAAGGAAAACTGCCAACCCATCTGGCTAGCTTGGTATAATAGGCCAAAACATCCGTTGTAAGGAGAGGCCTATGTCCAGCAGTGGACTATTAAAGGCTGTTGATGATGATGATAATGAAATCCGAAAACAATCGCAATAATTAACTGATAGAGAACACTTAAGTTTAACTAGTTAGGCTTTTATACATTTTTTCAAATCTTTACAATCTACTAGAAAATGAGTACACTTTGCAACTTAACAAAGTATAAAGAGTCAATCCTGGAATTCTTCAAGTATTACTTAAGTATTTAAATAAATTTCTATAATCATTCATTTATATTCTATTTTTTGTGCATTTGGAAACCCCCTCGGGCCGTTACCCCAACTAGATCTTTGATGGAGTAGTGGGCCGAAATCGATCCGCCTAAAACCACACGCTAAGCTTTCCTAAAATAGAAGGGATCCCGGACATTGTATGTTCCTTAACATTACTGACAAAATCTGTTTCTTGTTTCTTGTCAATAAAGGATATAAATATGTTTTATAAGGTAGACAATCCTTTTAAGCCAATATTTCACTTCTATTAGCGAGCACAGCTCTTCCTTCCTTCCTTTCCCTTTCAAAATTCATTATGTTTATATTTATCATGTTAATTTTGTCTGGTACGTTGTTGTTGCATCGTAGTAGATTCATATAATATTTACAGTATCCTCGGGTGGGACTGTCGCCGGAACCTGTGTCTCGGATGTTATTTATCTGAGCAGGTCTGAACTCAACGATTTCTCGGAAATAAGCTTGAAGTTCTTTATATTGATGCAATCAGTTTAGTTAAAATTTCATTCAATTTATAAATGTGGGATATTTAATTGCAATAGAGGAAAAATAAAGAATTAAAATATAATAAGTCTGTGATATTATTTTATACTAATCTATAGTTATAGGCATAGCAAGCTACCGCGATCAGAATTTTTAAATTGAATGTCCCTCACTTCACTGGATAAGAAATGGATTCTAGCTGTCAGAACTATATAGTATTAAAGATAGGTTTGGATGTTAACATAAAATAAAAACCACAATGAATCTGGGTAATATTTTTGAAGTCTATCATTTTTAAAGCAAAAGAATATTGACGACGATCAGCAAAGGCTAATTGTCCAAAGAACATTGAATGTAAAGTAAAAAATAAATAAACTAAATTAAAACTAATCACAAAATTAATTAAATTGACGGTGGACGAGTGGTTAGTGATCCTGTCTGCTAAGCTAAGGGATTTCCACCCAGCAAAAAGTATTGTGTCACGAGCATGAACATTTGTTCCAATATTTGTAAAAAATGATGTACTTACATCCGTACTGGTTCTCGTATATCCCTTCCCTCCACACTGTCGCTTGAATCCATACTTATATTATAAAGATAAACGGAAGCTTTTTTTTAAACTTCCGTATTAGGAATATATACTGTGTCGCGAGGGACTTTACAAACATACATAAAATGGAGACAAAGAACACTCAGACTCAGAACGACAATTTGTGGATCATACAAAGTGTCGTCCCATGTGGAGATCGAACCCAAAACACTCAGCGTAGTAGTAAGCGGCGTGGCGACCACTTAAACCACTAAGCCATCCGTGCAATCAAGTCAGTCCATGTTTGTTTCGTACGCTTTCACGCCTAAACCATTAAACCAATTTAAAAAAATCTTTCACCAATGTAAATTTACATTACCAGCGAATTTAGAATGAGGTCACATCATTCGTAATATTATACTGAACATAATCCAGTCTCCTAGTTTATATCCTCCAGCAATCTATAACCGATAAGTTGATGTAAGCGCTCTTAAGAGGGCAGTAATTTTTCAAAGTCTCTTTAGGTGACAAATGAAGAAGTATAGACTTAAAGGAATGATTAATGGTTGGCCGATATCTTGTCGGAGCTTGATATCTCGAATCAAGTTATCTTAGTTGAATATTTTTATTGAATATATGAGAAATAGTTTTAGTAGGTAGTGACTTAAATCGGATCACAAAAAAGAATTTTGTACAGACTTGTAAATGTGAATAAAAAAATATGAATCTAAAAATAAGGATGTAGTAATATTATGTCAAGTAAAATAACAGAAAAAACGGGGGTTTTTACAATCAATTTAATTATGTTAAATTACATGACCATTTTACGATACATATCCTCACCACCCAAAGGTAGTTTGTGAGAAAATGCGTGGGGCAGTAAGGCCATTGTGCCATTGTCATTGTCATATATATATATATATATATATATCTCTAATATATAAAATTCTCGTGTCACGGTGTGCGTGGTTGAACTCCTTCGAAACGGCTCAACCGATTTTCGTGAAATTTTGTGTGCATATCGGTTAGGTCTGAGAATCGGCCAACATCTATTTTTCATATCCCTAAGTAGTATCACTATTATCTTATACAAATGAAAAAAACAATAGAGGTCGTGGGTTCGTTTCCCACTAAGTACGAGACGAGCACGATCATCTGTTCCATGTCCAGGTGTGATTTAATTAAAGCGTCAACCTAGGTAATTGAGTGATTGCCGATGTTAGTATAACTAGTTATTTCTCACGCAAGGTTATCAAGAAAACCTAGTAGTTTTTGTCTAAATTTAGGGTTTCATTTAGCAAAATGTACTAATTTTTAAGACTTTGGTTAGTGGCTAAAATAATCGATATATGTATAATAATCGAATGTATTTACAGGTTGTCACTTTAATCATCATTAGTATAATTTTTATTAATATTAATCGGATCTTTTCTTTGTTTCAGATGATTGCGTATAATGACGTCACAAAAACATAGAACTTAACAGCCCAAAATGGATATAGATCATGTAGTATTAGACAAGGAAGCGATCAGTCGATTCGAACAGTACACATTGGCTAAGCCTTCGTTAAATGGAGGAATCCCTTTGGACAGATGCCAAGACGGCGATTCCATGGTATCTAACAGCAGAAAAAGAGCACAAACACCGCGCCAAAAAGTTGTTTGTTGTTTCTGTTTCAAAACCACTAAGTATAGAAGAAAACAATTCATTATTGGATCCCTTACAAATGTTGTCATATTCATTACACTTATAGCTTATACGTTTCTCGGGTCGTTTATTTTTTTGGCCATAGAAGGAGGGGCAGAAGTTCCAGCCAGACCGAGAATTTTACCCGACAGACAAAAGTTAAGCAACAGAGATAGTAACAGTACACATAAAAAGTCAGACGAAGACTACGATTACGGAAATTTGACTTTGTCTGCAAATTATTTCTGGGACGCCAGAAGCAGGGCTGTGGAAAACATTTGGGAGATAACGGTGTCTCTTAATATCCTGTATAGGGAAAATTGGACGCGGCTCGCTGCTCAGGAGATTCTGAAGTTCCAAAACGAGCTGGTTCAGAGGGTGACGACAGAGATGGCCTCGCAATATGGTGTTAGTTACAGAGAGATGGCACTCGGAGAGTTCGGGAGCGATTTAACCAACCATTATGAAGAGCACGAGTGGAATTTAGCCCTGGCGTTTTTCTACTCACTTACTGTTTTAACCACAATAGGTGAGTGTTTTGTATAATTAGCTTGAGTTTAGAACTTTGTTTGGTTAATTTTAATTTTCTTTGTCTTAGCTGTGTTTCAACTTTATCATTGTTAGACTGAATAATATCGAATTCCCAGAACTTGAGCGGAATTTTACTACTAACTGGTATGAATACAAAATAATTTTTAGTTCAAAACTTTTGAATTTTGATTATAGTGATGAAAAAACTAGTGACGCTTGAACTTACACAAAGAACATACCAACCAGTATTACAATAAATTACTATTAGAATCTCATAAAAACAGCTTGAATAGCAACCAGAATATTTTCTTTATTTTAAAATGGGGGTGACTCTTTTTACTACGGTTTTTCATTATTGTATTTATATAAATATATATTTTAGATATAAATAGATATTTTTCACTATCATTTTTTTTAAAGTCTTGTGTTGTCATCGGGCCTGCCTACGAGTGCACATCACAGTACAAATTTGCCAGATGTCTTGAAATTGACAAAAACCACTTATAAACAGATTAGATACAGATCATATAAGACATATAATATATAGATAGATATAAAACATTTTGTCTTATTACACTGCAAATGTATAGACAGACGTCTATACATTTGCAGAGTTATCTACTCGATATTACACTTAAACTAAAAACCTATCTATCTATGGTTCCTTTTGGATAAGCAAATGAAAACGTGATAGAAACTTATTTAATGACTTTTGAGATTTGCACTTTTAAAAGCGTGAAATGAGTTTTAGACTAGAGCTACAAACATAAAGAACTCTTTCAAAGAAAATTTGAATTAGAGATACATATATAGTTTTTATACCACTTGAAATATTGTATAACGTGCAATATCTCGAGTAGCGTGGAAGATATTGCACTTTGTATATTTTTTATGCAAACCAATATTGGGTTGGTCTCTAAGGATTTTGTATTATGAATTTTATACTTACTTCAGACACTTACACTATATGTGTTCGGCATATATTTAATTCCATATTTAATGGAAGCCTATTTTAGTAAATCTATAAACATACTACAGCAATAAAGGTTTCTGAATTTCGTATTTAGACAGAGTATGGACAGGTTACTAACTAGCCGCAATCCCTTTCATATAATGTCTAAAAGACACAATAATAATAACCTACATTTAGTCCTTTGGGTTTGAAATTATATACCAACCATTTTTACAGGGTACGGCAACATTGCACCAAGAACAATCCTCGGAAAGGGTGTCACCATCCTCTACGCTTTGGTGGGCATTCCTTTAACACTCGTCTACTTATCGAGTGTTGGGTCTCTTCTGTCTAAGATGGCTCGAAGCGTCTTCAGCAGAGCACTTTGCTGCTGCCTCTGTTCAAACTGCGGCTACTGTTGTTATGATGAACGAAGAATGGCAGAAAAAGAACGAAGAATGAAACTAAAAAGACAGCAAGAAGAAATGCTTAACAGTCAAAATACTAGCAAGACTCCGACAGAAGAATGTTACGTAATGAAACCTGATAGTCAGAAAGATTTATCATTGTCAGAAAGACCAACAACCAGTACGGCCAAAGATGATGTAATTAGCTGGCCAGATACTGATTCTAAATTGTCAATGCACGGTTTAAGCATTTTAGCTCCAGTATTTTTATGTCTCGCAGCTATATTTATTTATATAGTAATTGGAGCATTACTTTTGTATAAATTAGATAACTTGGGTATAATAGACGGTTTTTATTTCTGTTTTATGGCTTTGAGTACTATTGGTTTCGGTAACATTGTTCCTGGTATGACTTACACGAATATAAATGGTGTTAGATATTACACTATCAAATCGAGTACTCTTTGGTTTTGTTCCGCTTACACCCTTACAGGACTTGCATTAACAGCCATGTGTTTTGGTGTTATACATGACGAAATAATCTACAGAATAAAACATCAACAAAAACAATGGTCTCAAAAGGGAAATACAGTGAATGACGGGGTTAATATTACTGATCCATTTTACATGAATTCTTGACAAATGTATAATAAAAGTAAATCAGAAAACTTGTATAGTATAATGGAGGATAGTACTTTAGAGCGTAATAGAATCGAAATTGACAATAGAGAGGTAGTTCTTAGTATAGATGATATTTCAACAGCTGTGGATAATAATACTGAATTTCCACCACCACCACCACCAGAAGAGGAAATAGTTGCTATAGTAACTAAAAAAGAACCTAAAGGTTTCGGAAATATGGTTGCATACAATGTACTCCCAGAAATGTTGGAACATGTTAATTCAACATAATCTAAAAGACTTGAGATTTTTGATATTTTTTTTGGATTTCTGTTCTGGCTGTGAGTTCTTAGTTGTACAATGTTATCAAATATCATAAATCATAATGGTCTTTGTCGAATTTACTTTTTTTTCAATTATATGAAATGTACATATTGATGTAAATATTGTAATTATTAGTAATAGAAAACGATGTCTGACATCTTTTATCGGATCTATTTGTCAACTGTTAATATCAAGGTAATTGTAATGATTTTCATGTGAATAGTTTCTTTGTAAAAATTATCAGTTTAATAAAAAAATCAAAATTATTTTATGGTTTAATTTCTCCCTTAGTTTTACAAGGAAAATCAGTACGACGACGGCGATGGAAAATAGTTACTACTTACTACCGCAGTGGTACTGTGTACAAAGACTACTGTGCTGAGGCCTCGGGTTGGATTCCTGGGTCGGACCAAATGTTCGTATGATCTGCAAATATTTGTTTCTGAATTTGGGTGTTTAACTAAGATTCTAGGCAATGGAATGTAAATATATTACCATCAATATTATAAATGGAAAAAGTTCCTCTACTATTCATTAACAAAACCTTTGAAGTAATTATAATAATATATTCACACATGTCACACACGGCCGCCTGGTCCATAACTAGGCAGAGCCAGTGCTATGGTAACCATACTGCCGATAAACATACTTATATTTCTGAATACATACATATTATAGATAAACTACACCCAGATACAGAACAAATGACCGTGCTCATTACACAATTATTTGACCTGGGTGGGAATCGAACCCACGACCTTTGGCGTAGCAGTTAGGGTCACTAATCACTAGACCAACAAGCCAGTCAAGTAAGTTTATGTTTAAGTAAGAGTATGTTTCCTACAAAGTACAAAATTTGGAGTCTGATGAGATAAAGTGACACATATTGGGCTATACAACGCTCAGCGTTATATTTTTTTTATTTTGTTTTGTTAATAACTCCCGCATTAGGAATATACATCCTGTTTCGGGGGACTTTACAAACATACATGAAACGGACAAAAAGCATACCCAGACTCAGAACAACAATTTGTGGATCACACAAAGTGTTGTCCCATGTGGGGATCGGATCCACAATACTCAGCGTAGTAGTGAGCGGCGTGGCGACCGCTTAAACCACTATGCCATCCGTGCAGTCATCATTATATCATTATATGATTCAAAGAGTGTCAAGCAATTACTCTGGTTTTCTTGCTAGGACATGAAAGAGATTCGATTCCCACCCGGGGCAACTGTGAGCACGATAATTTTTTCTGCGTCGGGAATGATACTTATATTCTTCTAAATACATACATACTATAGTACATACTATAGTACATACTATAGTACTATAGTACATATACATACTATAGTATGTATGTATTTAGAAAAATATAAGTATCTTCATCGGCAGTCTGGTTAAAATGGTACAGACTCTATTTAGTTTGAGATCAGATGGTCATGCGTGAGATGTATGAAGCTATTATTGTTATCCGATGAGGTAATTGAAGCCAGGCTCAATACATAATACACACACATATATACATATATAAGTCTACGTCCCCGAAGGCACGGTACACTTATAATACAGTAGCGTAACTCGGGCGCATGATAGAAATAAATGCCTACAGCCGCGCGGTACGTAAACATGCGTTAGGGCTGTCCGTCTCCAGCATTTTAATTATATTTGCCTACTTTCTGTTTCTATTTAGATTTGTGATTGTAAATATCCTTTTTATATAAATAAATGAAATACTTTGTATATTGAATAGGAAGTGTTCAATAAAAATGCGTGTTGTTTTTTGATTGGTAGATTTAATTATTTTATTTTCTTTCTGCATTGGAGGAGTTCAAGTTTCAATTTTCTTTTTCTTGGAGTGTTGCTAGAGAGACTCGTTGAGGTTTGAGCAAAGATTTCATTTGTTGCATTTTCAGTCTGTGTACTATTTTCATTTCCTACCAACGGAGCAGTTTGGGTTTGTTTATCTTCTTTTAGAGAGACTCCTGGATCAGTACTAGCTAAGCTTGGCAGCATCAACAATGGTAGGGCATTCTTTTTTAAAAGTTTTCTATTTGATGAATGTAATACATCCTCCAAATTAAAATGTTTTTCACAAACTTGGTAGGAACTAAAGTTAGGTTTGTTTTCCAAATCATCTCGCCGGATCAGTTGCAACCATTGAAGACGTCTGAAAAAAAAAATACATGTGGCACTCTTTTATATTTTTTAAAAGAAAAAAATCTGCGTGGTGTCAGGCATTTTTCGTTAGGTTTTGAGAATTTCTTGATTCGGTCAGCCCGCGATAAAAGCTATGCAATAGCTTAAAAATCCTTCTATAGAATAAAAAAAATGTGCTTTCTCCTTACGCTTTACAAAACTCCAATCCTCAGAAACTCCAACACCTACCTACTCAACTAGAATGCAAGAAACAGCTGACGAGTAAGTAACTTTTTATCTCAGCTTATTAACGTCTCTAAAAATTAGGTAACTACCTACAACTCGCAACAACTCAAAACAAAAATTCTTTGGTCACCAATTAATTAATTATTAAAAAGCTGAACAGCTGACTACGAATGTTATAAAATCACAACCCTCAAACATCTAAATATTATATATGAGTCTAGCTGTTGTTCTTAATACCGAGAAAATAAAACCAGTTTTTAGTGGTATATGTTGTTATAGTAGCAGCAGAAACACTTTGTGAAAATTTCGAAAACTATCTAATGACACACAGACGGTAAAAAAAATAATCTAGTATTATTCATACACACAGATAATAAACAAATATTATTAATAATAAAATACCACGTCTTTACTTAGAATTATGCAAAGTAACAAAACACACATGCACCGAAGTTTTAACACAAGCGTAAGTAGGTAGGTACCTATTGCATCATGATTCATTCAGAACCGCATATAACTACCTATTTCACTCGTCTCAATAACTTTCCGTTACTCTATTCGCTTTATTTGTTAATCCAAACACCTTTTTTTTCGTGAGATAAAAGGAAATACTAATCCATTAAAAAGACACACATTATGTACCTACCTACTAGTAAGTAAAATTATTTTATAGTCTTACCTTTCAGAGTTTCCAGGTAATTTAAAAAAACGTCTGGATGCGTTATTGAATAATTCATACAACCAAAAACAGCACAATATTTCCTACTCGTCATATTAACTGTTTTTTAGAAAAAAAATCGCACGGTTATTGTTAAAAAAACAACACACCGTCCGTTCGACACTGCGGTACAGCCGTGACTGTCTGCGCCCCGAGCGCACCCCGAGATCGGGGCGCGTAGGTATAGCTCGCGCTTCGTCCGTTTGTATGAAGTTGGAGTACTGTATTATAATAGTACCGTGCCGAAGGCGTCAGCACAAACATATTAAATTTTGCCAACTGTAATGTTGTCTCACCTACGTAAAAAGGCGAGTAAGTGAGTTATCCTTGTGGTGATGGATTCAGAGTGCGGAGTGTCACCACTCCTATTTATCCCGTGGGTGTTGTAACAGCCGACTGAGGGAGCAAACTACTCAGGACAACAGCACTGCAAAGAGAAGAAAAACTATTTTTTTCACGTGTGGAAACCCCCCTCGGGCCATCACCCCACTGTAATAAGGGGGGATACGGGAACTGCTGTTATTAAGACATATGGACCCCTCCTAGCACCTGCCCGCAAGAAGAAAAACTTGACACAAACCCTATTCCAACCCGTCTGGCCAGCGTCTTATAGAAGGCCAAAACCTAACCAGAGGCCTATGTCCAGCAATTGATTATTAAAGGCTATTAATGTGTGTATGTGTGTGTGTGTGTGATGACATAACAAGCGGAAAGGCGAGTGCTGTCAACAAACACCTTAGGATTAATATATACGAGTACATATATCTGTAACTTATAACATGACGTATAGTAACTTGAAATGTCTATTGCGGGAAAGTTCCAGACCTCCAATCAAACATATACCAAACTGGCTATATCTAATTTCGTGTTTCTAACTTTCAATGAAGGACTTCCTTACGAACCGTTTATCCCTTATTTTACCTCGTTATGGTTGAAGCTTTCAAAAATCCTTTCTTAATTAGCTTAGTTAGCTTACAACATCAAAAACATCAGCTGCCAAAATTACAAGCTTTTAGAAAGAGTGGTTTAGGCTGTGCATTGATGAATTAGTCAGTTAGTTAGGGCAAGTATTTTATTTGTATACATATAATCGCAAAGTTTATACGATAAGACCAACGAGACAGATCTGTCCTAACACATTATCTAACTGATTCTTTGCTGGTTTCTCTATGAGATTACTTCCTACCCTGTTAAAGGTATCTTGACAAGATATATTTTGCATTTCGCACATTTGACACACAACGCCATCTAGTTTTAAACTAAGCAGAACTTCTACTATGAAAGCTAGATTCACTGATAGAAAAAATATTTAGTTTTTTGGTAAATACATACATATTATACATAGACAATATCCAAACTCCGGAACAAATATTTGCAGATCATACACATTCGTTCCGACCAGGATCGAACCCGAGACCTCAGCACAGCAACCACCGAGGCAGTAGATGTATTGACTTTATTCTTTTCTGTATTTTTGTGTTTTAATTACACTCAGCATAGCTCTCTTATAAAACTAATCTTCAATTTGCAAATTTCTTTTAAATAACCCTCAAGTCATGTCAGCTTCTTCACTTGCTCTAAACGTACAGAAAATAAAAGGTTATTTCGATACCCTTTTCCTGACTTAATTATTTTTTCTGCACTGGTTTTTCTTTGTGTATAATGTCTTACACTTGACACGTTTTCTCACACAAAGGAAAAATTAAGATCAAAGAATCTTTTACTCCTGAGTCAGAGCCGAAATGATCAAACCTGACAACTAAAGTGAACGAAATGTACTTTATCAACTGAAGTGCTGTTAAGTTTAAGATTTACTGTTTGATCGACCGATTACATATGCATGTTCGATGTAATGTTCCCGGATGA